GGGCTTGAACCACACTCAGCCATGTGGAAATCCGGCACCCTTACCCACCAACCTACTTGCTGGCCCCAACCCCATGTGATTTTCAAGACCCCAGGTCTAGTACTTGAACTGAGGTCAGCCATGTGAGAGTCCAGCAACATGACCACTATACTATCTGCTGGCCCAAAGGTTTTTTTTTTCTTTTTTATTTCCTTTTATTTTATTTATTATTGTAGTTATTTTCCATTTGACCAGAGCAAGACAGAGAGAAAGCAAGTCACTAGGTCTGGGACTCAAACCATGGTCAGCTATGTGGGAGTCCAATGCCCCTATAATCGTGCCACCTGCTGGCCCCCAGAGTCCCTTTTTAAAAAGAGAATCGTTTATTTAACTTTACCCATCATTATTATTTTAAAATTTGCTACAAGGTGTGTGCACTCACCAGAGACAGAAAGAGAGAAAGGAAGCCATCAGGCCTGTGACTCAATCAGGGTTAGCCATTATGGGAGTCCAGTGTCTAACTACCTTGCCACCTGCTGGCCCCAAAATGTCCCTTTATTGGGGCCAGCAGGTGGTATGCCAGTTAAGGCACTGGACTACCACAGGGCTGACCACTATTTGAGTTCCTATATACCAAGCAGCTTGAAAATCGGGTGTGTGCATGTGTGTGTGTGTGTCCAAGATCCCAAGAGGATGGAGAAGGGACTGCTGCATGGCCATTTCACTTCCCACTTTGTCTCTTCCCCTCCAGGAGTGCATGCACCATATTGCAAGAACCTAAAAAAAAAAAAAAAAAAAGTTGTTTTAGTAAGAGGAAATAGCAGTTTCCTCCGTTTTTGCAGATTTAGGAGGTTACAACAAACTAATAGGAAAATATGACTTGCTAAGGATGACTTTGCGTTTGAAAAGGTAGGCAATGTGTTCATGGAATGCTCCAGCTCAGAAAATCCCTGGCCAATTCCCTGGGAGGTAGTCCACTGTCTTGGCACCACCCGGACCCCACTGTCATCCATTGAAATGTGAGTCTGAGAACATGATACTTTGGTACAGATCCTGTAATCAGCTATCTAGAAGGGACACAGAAAATTGCCCTATAGCAACGACTTAACTTTTGTTAACTTCAGCCTCCTATCTATAAAATGAGGCCAATATGGCCTGGCTGGAAGATAATAGACCCCTAGATTTCATTCATTTGTATAACAAGTATTGAGCTACTGCCACCGGTATTGTGATGGATGAGTGAATATAAGGAGAAAACGGGGGGCGCAAGGGCTGTTACAGGAGGGTGAGTGTGCTCGCCACAGACAGCGAGAAATCATCCCTTGGGGGCATGGCCACGCCACAATCCCTTCTCCATTCTCCTCTCAGGATCTTGGGCACGCACGCACACACCCCCGGCGTGAGTTTAAGCCACTGGGTCAGGGACTTGAATCGCAGTGGACTACATGAGAGTCCAGCGACATAGCCATTAAGCCAAATGCGTCCCGCAGGTTCGCTCCTAAGGGGCGGGTCTCGAGGTAGGTTCCACGTGTTTCCAACCTGGCTCCCCAGATTGCAGGCCGACCACGCTTGACACGCCGGATGTGACGTCGCCACTCCCCGTGGTTCCCGGAACCAGGCCGCAGGGCCGGAAGTTAACGGGGTGGGGTGGGCATAGATGACCGGAAGTGGGTTTTGGGAGACGCTGCCTGCCCCAGCTTTCAGGAGCTGGTCGTGGAGCGCGAGGAAGGCGGGACACGGGGCGGGGCCGCTG